GCATGGTATCTCCCCCACACACACACACAGACACCCACCCACACACACACACACACACACACACACACACAGACACCCACCCACACACACACACACACACACACACACACACAGACACACACCCACACACACACACACACACACAGGAAGTGCCAGCAGGAAGGGACAGTAGCACAGCATGGTATCTCCCCCACACATACACACAGATGAAGTGTGTGCGTAGGAGCTGTTGTGACATAGTTTGTGGTCTTTCTGCAGACCTCCTGCAGATGGCCTCCCCTCACACTCACTGTGTTTTGGTCCACGACTGAACGAGGCCTGAACGAAGAGCACCATCCCCTAGACAGTTGGGTGCATGCAGAACCTCAGACAGCTGGAAGAGTGAAGTCTGTGAGCAGCCCCGTCTGTGATTTGGCACTCCTGCCATTTCCTGAGAGCTGCGCCTGACCCCCTACACCCCCCTCCACCCCCCCACCCATGTGACCCTACTGCCGGGGGCCGTCTGGCAGGGGGAGCCTACCTGCCGGGGACGGTGCATGGGGAGCGCTCCAGAGTGCTGACGGGACGCCCGTAAAACTCTGTGATTCGGGGCCAGTAAAACTGAGATGGGAAGCCAAACGGCGCAGGCCGGAAAACGAAGACCCTACCCACTCCCAGGCTCTGGAAGGCACGTGGAATGTGCTGAGCGACACGGAACTGTGATTAGCGCCGCATGACGTCGCATGGGATGGGAGGGTGGGGTCTGAGCGGGCATAGAGATGCCGATAAAAGTCACCTGAGGGTGGGCTTGTTTCGATAACTGAAAAAGCCACAATGACAATGGTGCCGGCGATGAAAGCAAATCTATGCCTCTCTGTAGCTCAGCACACTAAACGAGACGTCGAGAGGCAGACGGCCTCATGCCGAACAGCGGAAATGTGTCGGTACAGACTGAAACATGGCTTACGGTGTACAAATGGTACATACCTACCCCGGGCTACAACACCACACACACAGCGGGTATCCAGCCATAGGAACGCAACCGTCCCCCAGATCCTTACAGAAGTCAGCCATATGCCAGGGAGGAACTGCCTCAGCAGATGTGAGTCACCAAGGCCATGTGTGATAAAGTGTGAGCCTACTGCCAGCAGATGTGCAGCTTGTATTAGTGACAATACGGGTGAAATTCCCAGCGAAGGAGGCAAGTGATCTGCTGCTGTACCCTTAAGAAAAACACCCTGTATTACATTAGTCAGCATTCTGCTGTGCAAGATGGCAGACATTTAAGTTAGAAAAAGGTAAATGAGATGTTTTTGATGGGGGGGGGGGGGGCATCGTACTCTGGAGCTCCCTCCAGTGGCGACTTTAGGCTCTGCAGAGTGGTGTGCATGCAGTGGGGGTGGGCAGTACTCACTGACTCTGCTCCTGGTTCCATTCACCTGCTCCCCCAATGCCTTGGCTTCTGCAAACCTGTATGGGCACAGGGACGTACCCGGTAGAGCATCATAAAAGCCGCACCTCCTACAGCACTGGCCATCCTGCACAATCCTAATCCCACTTTAACCACAGTTCATGGACCTCTGGCACTACCTTTGCTTCAGCAGGGCTTTGTTGTCCTCGATGGTCACGCTGTCCTCATGGTCCCTCCTGAAGATCGCGAAGGCCTCCTTCCTGCCCATGGACAGCTCGGGTCCTGGGAAACATACGAGGGGAGGCGCAGGGGGTAGGGGATGATTCATGGGGAGTTTAGAGAACCGGTTCCTCCCCCGTCTGTCTGGCCTGGAAAACAGCACGCACATAGGTCTGCAGCACACATAATAATGCTTGCTGGAAGCCCAGCTGGGTACCACTACCGACGCAAACAGCAACAATCTGGGATACAGATCACACAGGCTCACAAAAGCTGGTTTAAACAAGGCCTGTGCATTACTGGTCGCTGTTGAGCCTGAAAGGCAGATGTCTGCTTATCTCATCAACATCCACAACAGCGATGTGTCCAGGTTTGTTGTTTATGCAGCCCAGCCCAAAAAGTTGCTTTGGGGGTTTCCCTCCCCACCAAGTTTCGTGACTATTTGTGGCCAACAGGGGGCCTCATACAAATGCAGGTGCAAATTACAGTGGCTAGTTAAACCATCATCACAGCACGTCGGAGCAGCAGTAAATGGGGGGGTGGCTCAGTTATTTACTCCCCACCTCTGCTTTTTACAGTTTCCTGACCTGTGATCCCACATCCACATACAGCATTCAGGGAGACAGGAAGTGACCGAGGTTCTCACAGCGTTACCGCCAAATGAAGGGCTCAGCTGACTCACCACATCACCACCAACTCGCTATATCACCGCCAAGCGAAGGGCCCGGCCGGCTCTCCGCTTTACCGCCAAGCCAAGGGCCCGGCCGGCTCTCCGCTTTACCGCCAAGCCAAGGGCCCGGCCGGCTCTCCGCTTTAACGCCAAGCCAAGGGCCCGGCCGGCTCTCCACTTTAACGCGAATCGAAGGGCCCGGCCGACTCTCCGCTTTACCGCCAAGCAAAGGGCCTGGCCGGCTCTCCGCTTTACCGCCAAGCAAAGGGCCCGGCCGACTCTCCGCTTTACCGCCAAGCAAAGGGCCTGGCCGGCTCTCCGCTTTACCGCCAAGCAAAGGGCCCGGCCGGATTGCCACATCCTTGTCAAATGAAGGGCTGAGCTAGCTGTTAAATGAGTTCATTTGTTTTCAATCAAAAGTGATGAGGAGAGCGGAAAAAGCTGAACATCAGAAAAAACAAACAGGAAACACAAATTCTGATCAGGCAGTAAACATCCAGCAGCAGCCTGGAACCAATGGCAATGCCGGGCACACTCTTTCGGAGAGGTGGGGGTGTATGAGGGGTGTATGGGGCACTCCAATGGACTTTGGTGAGAGATGGTCATTAGAAGACCAAAATTCAGGCATTGGCCTGGTGGTAGCTGCAACAGAGATGCCACTTACAGGCGATGCCACGAGGCTGCCATATGCCACACAGCTGCTACACTGCCCAAAATGCCAACAGTGGCATGTCACCCCCTTCCACTACATTGAACTATTAATTGCAGTGTTAGAGAAGACCATAAAGTACATTGTCAGACAGCTGTTTCTCTGATTTACCACACTCACAGACATGGCAGGACAGCCTTCCGATGCTTTGAGTAACTAGATGATTCAAAGTTAAGCTGTTTTGAAGTTTAGGCCTCACAGAAAAACATGGCGCTGATGTGAATGCAGATGAAATCAGAAAATGTTTCAAAGCTGTTGATCTTTGCAGACATTACCATCTCATGGAAAGAAATGCTTCTTCCAGACAGAGACGGTGTTTCTGAGAGTAGGGTCTGGCTGCTGGCTGAGGAGGTGACATGTGACAGACCCATCAGCATGGTATTGAGTGTATTCCGAGCTGGTTAACACGTGGACATGTGCACAAGTCCCTGGGCCCAGCAGGCAGACCACCGACATGTGGACAATCATCTCACAAAGTGTCATGGATCTCCTGGGTTTACAAATGCACGTTTGGAGCCAGCACATCTGGCCCCTGTTTAATTTTAGCCACAAATGATGCAGAGGCACCATGTGAGTCAGTCTGAATCCCTGAGTCAACAGTGACCCTGCAGCGTGCTTATCAACAAAGGAGAACGCTCTGGAATAGCCTTGGGGGGGGGGGGCATTCAGGAAATCTCCATCCAACGCAAAAACAGCAGCCTACCTTTCTGACAACATTCAGACATGTGGCTGGACAATAGCCTGTGTCCCATCTCTGCTAAGATCTCGCACTTTCAGGCCAACAGTGAAGTACAACTCCCACTTTTCCTAAATGCAACATGAGTGTACGGTAAGTCACACTGTACTCTTCCTCTGAACCAGAGGAGAAGAGTAAATAAAGAAGCCGCAGCGTACTCTTACTCTGAGTAGGAGGGGAAGAGTCAGTTACGAGCTGCACCGTAGTCTTACTCTGAGTAGGAGCTGCACCGTAGTCTTCCCCTGAACTAAGAAGAGGTGCCTGCTAAATGCCTTCAAGGAGCTAGCTAATTAAAGCAAAGTGTGCCTCACTGTCTCTGGAGGTGCAAAGGATGAGACGACAATCCCAAAGGAGGCGTTTCCTTGGTGACTGGGGTTGCAATGCTGGAGCCAGCCCCCCTACCCTATATAGGCATGTTTATAAGGTAAGCAGCAGACCCCCAGCTGTGGGCTCTGCGTCCATCACACATCCAGTGTTCTACCCTGCAAGACACAAAGCAGGGTAGAAACACCTCCGCCTTCATTTGCTCAGAGCGATGCTGTTTTATCGCAAACCTGGACTGTTTAGTCTAGGCCTGACGATGACTGCCTGGTGTTTCCAGGCCGGGGAGAGTCTCCAGCCCCCCGCTGACTACCTGCAGGTGACTTCAGGCAGCCATTAAGAAGAGATGCGTTTTACAAGGTCAGGACATCACGATTCACCTCAAAGCCTGTGGATAGGAGATGGTGAAAATGAGGCTTTAAAGCTCGGGGAACTGAGGTTATGAGTTGCTGTCAATCACCCTCTGTTTTTCCATCAAGTTAATCGCTTCGTTTCATTTTCATTTCAAGCCTGGAGAGGGGTATGAATCCAAGATGGAATAGTAGCTACAGAAAGCCACGGTGGCAACGCGCTCTTCCCATGGCTTGGCGCACAGCGAGGACTGGCCTGGGGTTCCCAGCAGGTCTAACTTGGGGAACGTGTCCCCTTTGGCTCTCTACATGCTCTCCTCCACCTTTGCCGAGTCACCTGAGTTCGGCCACATTGAGGTCCAGACTCCATTTGGAGGCTGCCAGAGGTGCTCCATCTCTTACCTTCTATGGAGCCATCAGACTTCTGTACACAAGCAGGCATATAGAACCATTGGGGAGCCAGTCAGCTGGTGTGGGCTGGACACAGGAAGGACGCTGAGCTATTAACGCCAGTGCCGAATTGATGCCGCTACTTATTTCCACGGCGGTGCCCCCAGTCTGCCTGCTCACACGTCTGGGTGTTCTGCTGTGGGCCTGTGTTCCCTCAGCCATCCAGAAGCAGCTGTCCGTGTTGATTCCTCCCAGCTTGAAACTAAAACACGTCCCATAAGCACCCTTGCATGTGTGTTCTAGGATATAAAAACTGTGGCATAAATCTCTCACATTCCACATATTTCTGGTTAACATCCTCTTCTCAGGGCAACAATGAATAAATCATTTACTCCGACTATTACTCAATGATATTACGCCATAAGTCTGCTAGTAAGTATTGCCTTTTTGGAAATAATACACGATTTTAATTATGGGAGGTACTTCAGAAAAATGATCTCATGTGACATTAACGGCGACTTTTGAAATCTTGTATTTTATTTTTGGAAAGCCTTGACTGGAACCAGAATATTTTAGGAAACAACTCTTGCAAAAATTAATCTCAAGGAATCCCTCAGACTGCAGTGTGTAGGAAATGCACCCACGGACTTTTCAACATGGAACATTCCTGGGATTCCGCTCTGTAAGGGACATGACATCAGTGTTTATGTCAAGATGACCTCACTTTGCTGGGGACAACTTTGTTTTTCACGGTTTTTTGGTCTGGTCAAAGTCTTACGCAAAAGCTGTTTTTCAGCTGCGTGTGAAGGGAAAGCCATGATGTTCCAGAGAACATCCCCCTAAAGTGGGTGAAACTGACACTGTTCTAATCCATCCTGGAGGAATGGAGAACAGGGCACATGAGTCATCAAAAAGGAGCTACACTAACCCTACAGCAAACAACAATGAGAATGAGTGCTAGGCAGGACTCATCCTCGGAGTTGGGGCTCTGAAGGTGTAGTGAACGATCATAAAGTACTACAACGTTACCTGCTGGAGCACTGTCCTCCTTCAAGCTCTTGTGGCATGGCAAATACCATAAGAGCTTTGGACTTTGCACTCTTGTTGACCGCAGGATCATGTGGCACAAAATTGGTTTACAAAATTGGGGGATGGGAGGAACTCCTGGGGAGAATGCCACCAGACTTACAGAAATCTGCGGTGGTCACAGCCGACGTCCATTCTGGGCAATTAATGAGTCAAGACGTGCTCTTCCAAACCTCATCTCTGCCGCTTTCCAGATGCTGCAGTGACTGCCCCAGCCAGCAGGTAAGAGTTCCAACACCCCCCTCCACTGGTTCACTCCCCATCCACCTCCAAGTGGCCTGAGGATCTAAGAGGGTGGGTATGGTTTCCCACAGCGATACACCCAGACATTTTCTGGATGGCCCACTTGTCAGCGTGTGGTGCCTAGTCTGGTCACCTCATCATCTCTCAGGGACATTCGATCTTAATCTACCACCCACTATCAGTGCTGAGATTCAATTCCAGGAAGGGCCTGGGGGCCGAGCCTGTCCTCCCACTGCAGCCTGACCACAACGCAGAGGCCGGCGGGGAAAAGATACGTCTGTTAAATGACGACAAATCACCCCCGCTGGGCTTGGTCGCTTAGGCCACGTTTCACTGAGGATCGTGACTGAAGATGAGGGTCAAAACTTATTATTATTTTTTTAAATGTCAGAATGTGAGTGGCAAGAAGCTTTGTTGAAAACCTTATCCAAGAGATGAGCCTCAAGTGAGTGACGGCATGGCCATCATATAAAATAAGATTCTTGGTTATCTCCATTAGTTCCTGAAAAGGCAGAAGGTGGTTCAGACAGTAAGCATGAAGCCCACTGTCTCCTAGGA